CATTGACCATCTGGGTGTTTAGTGCCAGTTCCATTATCTTTTTTTCAGATCTTTTTTAATGTCGTGGATCCTCATTTGAACCCCTGCCTTGAGAGCAGGGGTTCAAAGTTTCTCTTTCTTGGAGATTCTCTGTCACCAAGGGTGGACTTGAGGGCACCAAGCCCTGCTGACTATCTCACTGTTGTCGATTAGAGCTCATTAAGCACTCAATGAGAGAAGAGGTCTTACTTTATTAGGTCCTTGAGTCCTGTGTGGTTGATCTTTTTTTCTTCAGAGTGGTTTGTGCTGCAAAGCCAGTTTAACGGACATCGAGATGACAATATGGTGATCAGTCTAGAATGTGTCAGCTCCTTGCATGGAACATGTGATGTGAACATGTTTGCAATACTGGGCACAGACAATTATGCAATTGATCATCTGCCAGTGTTGAGATTGGTGTTGCCACAAACCGTTGTATTTCTTTTGCTAGTTGAATAGAGTTTTGATATTGGGAAGTCCATATTCCAAACATCACAGCGGGAGGAGGAAACCATTAAAGTCGACCTTTCCCTCCCTTTCCTTTGTAGTGATTCCATTCCAGCCGTTTAAATCCAATTTAACTCTGGCATTGAAATCACCAAAAAGAATAATTCTAGCTCCCTCCAGAATGCCAGAATGGCCTTGAAGAAGAAGAAATGCCAAACCACAGTCAGTCCCATCTCCTCCAAGTGCTAGATGATCTTGTAACTGCCACCTTCCTGGCATGGTGTGAAAGGTTGCAATTGTGCTCCCAGTGCCACTTGCACACTGCCGAAGGGCTTGTTGTTTCCAGGGAAGATGTCAGCACGTGACTTCTTTAATCAATGAGAAGCTGTTTCAGGTCACCTTCCAGAGAGCTCGTGACAGAACGGGACTTTGATCTAGTGCCACGGAGAAAAGGATGACTGGGACCACATTCTGCTGCTGTGCACAACAGTGTAAATAACGACAAGAATTCTGGATAAAAAGTATATTGTTGCTTATTAAAAATAAATGTTGGTGCAAATGTTATTTAATTTTAAATACATATAGCATAAGTACTATAAATGGGGTATCGGACTATTTCTGTTCAGCTGAGCGGTATTTCGGGTGAAAGTGGATTGCTGCTGATTGTAAATAGAACCTGTTTCTGTGGCAACAGTAGTTGGGTCTGTAGTGAATCTTTTGTCGCCAGGAGTGTGTGCAGATGGAGAGGATGCAAAGATGATTGACACGTCCAGTGCTTTTGTGGGACCTTTATTGTGGTTACAGTATGGCAGCATCACTGTTGCCCTCCTCGCACCTTGTGCTTTGACCAACTACCTGGAGAACCACGATCTTGCCGAGCAACAGAGGATGGGGTTCATTTGATCACTCTATTCTGCTCTTCAGGACTACAGGGCTTCTGAAGAGCTGCTGGCTCGCGTTGCTTGGGAAATCGAGCTCCTCCCTCTGCCCCCCCCCATCAGCTCTCGTGGCCCTGATGCATCAGACCCCAGGGCAGATAGAACTGCTTCAGGAGGCTTGCGCTTGTGGAAAGCCATTGAACAATTAGGGGCTTTGATATCAACAAGCAGTCTTTGTGCAGGGCCTTGTAAACATTAAATATGAGTTTCTCCCTGTTTTCTGAAATGGAGTGAGTGCATCTTGTTTCATAATTGATTTATATGGCTATGGAAACACGAGGGGGCCCTTTTCCCTGACTAAACAGCTAGAGTGAAGATTTAGTTCCCTGCTATTTCAGTTCATTACATAAAGGGAAATCTTGTTCTGTTGGCTTTGTTTGTTCATGGGTCCTCAATATTTCAGAGTTGCACATATTGACAATTCTGGATGACCTGAGTGTTTTGTAGAGGCTTAGGATTCTTGTTTTAAAGTCTTGCTGTTTTATTGTGTGGCAATGAAAGGTTTCATTTTAAATTTGTTCAAGCTCTGTTGAGCGAGACAGATAGAAACTTGTGTGTAATGTTTACAGAGAGAGCATATGACATTTCAGAGCAAATGGAAGGCGTGCTTAACAATGTTTATTGTAACCCAAGAGTTTGGTGGGGCTATATTCAGATGATAAAAACCCCTTGAGAATGATTGAATGCAGAGCATAACAGGAAAATTCATTTTTGTGTGTTCCTGTCTGTTCTCCAATGAGGACTTTTTGCAACAGATTAAAACTCCTTTCAAACCTTCTTTGAATTGTGCTGTGACTTCTTGCAACCGTTCAGGTTGTCTTTCTGTTGTTTCGTTGATCATGGATGGTAACACTTACCCCTCTTCACCCCAGACTCCGAAAAAGCGCTGTGCTGTGGGAGTCTGACACTATTTTACCAATGCATTCTGCTGGAGCACATAACAAACAGGAGCTAATGTGACAGCTGCTTTTGTAATTCTTTTGGAAAAGTGCCCGTACAAGAGAATGTGTTGTATAGTGAATGGAGATAAGAGGCTGCTATGAAGACCTTGGCAGCTTTTCTAATGTAGCCACTTTTTCACGAGTATTGACTTTGTGTCAGGTGTTGTTGCTCTCTTCACAGGCTTAATTTTAACTTTGTTTCCTGTTCATGCTCTGATCTTATCAGATCACATTTAGACCAGAGTTCAGTTTATTTGTACAAGTGCAAAGAATGCTTATTTCCATGTATGCTCCTATACAAAGACATTATGTAAACACCAAATTAAACACACAACAGCAGCAATAACAACAACAAAGTTAAATAACTGTCAACTTAAATAAATCCCTGCACATGCAGTGTCCAAAAAACCTCAGTGTGAGTCAATAGTTAAGGTAGAATTCAATAGTCTGACAGCCTGTGGGAAGGAACTGTCTCTGAATCTGCTCAAGTGGTGATTAATGAAGAGAGAAGGGTGTCCCAGGCCAGACAGGATCAGCTGGAACAATTAGTTTTCAGAACGTAAATAGCACTTGGGAACATAATGAATGAAGAGTGCAACGAGCACAGATGACTGAGTTAAAGTGCTTAATTAGGAGTGATTGCAGAAGATGCAGTTATTGGGCTACACAGACAGAATCAAGCAGAATAATCTACGGCCTGACTATATGCATGAAAGGTGATTAGTAAAGCTGTGGGGTTAAGGACAGATCTGAGTGGGCGAGAACCTGTGAGAACAACGAAACAGAAGACCATGTGGATGTCCACAAGAGGGGGTGGAAGAAACAGACTCGCCCTAAAAAGTGAAGAACTAAGATGACGCGTTGGCAGGGCTAGAATTGTGGCTATTACACCGGTGTCATCACAGTTCTGTAGATTATTTCTATGACAGATTTTTGTAATTATATCATTATTAATACTGGTCACACCTTATCCTGGGATTCCTGCCCCCACAGGGCCCTGCTGGGCCTCGGGAGGAGCCCCTCGGCCAGCTGGTCCTGGGCTTCGCTGCCCTGAACTGCACTGACGCCACACAGCCTCCGGACAGCACGGATCAGACAAGCAAGTCGCCGCCCTGGCCGAATGTGTCACGACTCGTACCCTCTCTTGTAAACGCCCTGGCATTCCCACGCGTACTAGATTCCACACACACTTACCCAGGAACTAATTAAGCAGCCACGTCTCTTTCAACATTTAAACACTCTTCACCGGCTTACCTACGCTCATTATTGAGAAGTCTTCCACAGCTTTCTCTTGTACTCCCTATATTCTTCCCAACCCGACTCCTTTGGCTACCCGACCTCCTTCTCCTAGTTTCGACATCGCTCTTGCCTCACGACTTGGATAAGGAATATTGGATTTACTCCTTTCCTCGAGCTCCCTTCCTCACGGCTTCGCACAGGGGTCCTACAGCTCACCGCTTTCAGATATCTGACAAAATGCTACCTCCTCTTTCAAAAACAAAGAAAAGTTCATTCATCCTTTCTTCAGGATTCAACATTCTTCCCTAATATACTGTTAATCTAATCCCAGAATTCACACACCTACCGGAATCAAAACGGCTTTCAATCCTACTGGGTGAGAGGAGTGAAAAATCACTAGAATTGCAGCTCAGTCATCTGTCATAGCTTGAGGAACAGAGGGCGAGCCCCTATAATAATATTTTGTTTCGTAAATGTCTTCTAATTTTTGCTTTTACAACACTGTAAACAGGAGAAGGCGTCTAGCCTGGTGGTGAGATCAGACCAGTTTAGTGTTGCGGTGAGACCGTTCCTTTTGATTAGGTTTCAGAGTCGACACTGAAGTAGGTCGTTGGAAAAGTGCAGTGCTCGGCCATCAGCTGGGGGTTAACAAATTAGAAGGAGCGATTAGAAAACGGATGCATGGATATTTAGATATCCCCCAGTGAGCTCACATTTGGAAGTGGGTGGACAGAGCAAACACAGTTGCTGGTTCAAGCTGATGGAATCCTGTTAGGGGTCGACCAGCAGGTCCGTTTGGGTCAGTGGTTTTGGCCACCTCCTTCCCCATAGATCCGGTAGTTAATGTGAAGAGGTGCTCCTCACCATGCTGCTAAGGTTATTATAAATATATCACCTTTTGTAATTCTCAGATGACAGTCATCTTGTACATTATTAAGGGAAGAACGTAGGAAGACTCACCGAGATTTTTGTGCAGGGCCCCATGTATGGATGGTAGTTTACAGCAACCCCTAACGAGTTCTGTTAAAAGTGCACCTACCTCCTAATACAAGAAATGCAGTTTTTGGTCTTTAATCGTTAATCACATGGATGGTGTGAGTGAGGACAGATATCATCTGAATCCATTTCAAGCCGTTTCCAGTCCTTTTGAGCTCTCGGGACAGCGGGCCGAGTGGCAGCGAGGTGTTCCCAGACAGCTGTCAGATTGTTGCCATTTCTGGCTCCCTGACTCACAGATTGCCTTCCTGCCTAGTTGTATTACTTCTAAACTCAGGAGAATTCATGGAATTTTGAGAATTTCTTCGTTTATAAGCCTCACAGGATCTAATTGAAATGGTTCCTGACCCCTGACATTTAAATAACAAAAATATCTTGGAAATGTGATTTTGACTTAATGAGCCAAGAAAGTTCCAGCAGTTCTGCCTTGAGAATGTCGCTTTTGTGGACTGGTGGGAATTGAAATTTAGAAAACAAGGTAGGAATATTTGTCTTTATATTTACCATTTAATCAGTGCTTTGCAAACATCATTCTAGCTTTTAAATAAGTTTTCATTCTTATAAAAAAACTTAAGATAACCTGACCTTAGACATTAGAACACATTAGTGGGTTTCTTTTCAACAATGCTTATTTTTAGTAACACATGAGGCACTCATTTGCTTTGAAGATTCACTTCAAAAATCAAATTGCAGGTGGAAGTATTAATCTGATGTTTAGTAAAATATACGAATTCTTAGTGAAATGAGCACTTTACTTTTCTGTACTTGCTCAAATGAGCGATACATGTACATATGTTTTTATTATATTAGCAACCTTCGCACTAATATTCTGGATGTAAAATTTGTAAAAAATTACATTGATGAATGAGTTTTCAATTTTTCAGATTTTTTTACAATTAAATTTTATTTTGATTATGCACACTATGAATACACAATATGAATATCACCTGAGAGCTTGATACTCTCACCTTTAGAGCTTTATTTTCTTTATGACAGTGCAAGATTTATGAACTAACATAATAAACAGTTTTTGTTTAGTAAATAATTAGTTCAAGACATATTTATCTTTCATGTGTACAGTAGACGTCAGGTAAATTTTAATTCTCTGTGTAACTGCTTTAGAATACATTTAAACAGAAGAGCTTGCAGAAGAGGAAGAGCTGCAGGATTAGGGTTATATGTCACAGAGTGTTAAAATGGGTGTGGAGGCAACAGATATCAGGGACTATGTTTGCACAGAGGGGCCAGTGTCACAGTAAAGGTGATTTTTCATCTCTCCTTGTTGTGGGGCTTTCCAGTGAGCAAACCTCCTCCATGCGCAGACATACGCTCATTACCACAGAGCTCAGGAGTGACCTGTGGGGCTGTGGGACAAGTCGAACTGGGCCTCAGACTGAGAGAGGGGCTTTAGGACAGGGTGCTTTGTCACACCTGGCCAACTGCAGGCAGCCTGCTGATCAGGCAGCTCTGCCCAAAGGGACACTTCCACCCTCTGCGAACGAGTCCTGACCCTGGCTTGAAAAGCCCCAGTCAGAAGCACACAGAGACAGAAGAAACTGGAGGAACACGGTGTGCTCCCCAGCCCCAGGAGAGAAATCGGACACCAGAGACTCCACAGAGAGCAATGGAGGAGGGCTCCAGCATGCTCCCTACCCAAAGATAGGCTCGGGCTAAAAAAACAGGATGGGGGAGCATGAGGGACCACTGCTCCAGACGGCTGGGACCGAAGAGGGCGCCTTAGACGACACTGAGCTTCTTTTCTGTGGTGGCAGGAGGAATAGCAGATCACTGACTGGAGCCAGCTTTAGAGATCGACACCGCTGGACTGCCCCTCTGAGAGGCTGCGTTCTTGTCCTGGACTGGAATGTGTCTCCCTTGGAGATACTTCTTGTGTGATTAACTCTGTTGGTTTGGCAGTAATAGATACTGCAGCAGCTAGGTAATTTAGGGGAACGTATGTAAGATGACTGTCTTGTCTGGTCTGTAGGCGCACTGGTGGTTCTGAGAGATAGAGAACCCTTTAGAGGGGTGAAGAGACCCTAGGACCCTAAAGTTGCTGGGGGACATAGGACATACTGTAGCTCGAAAGCCAAACTCTAAAATGAGTTGTTTTCCATTCTGTGTTAAATGGGTTGTTTGTGATGTGTGCTTGGTATTCTCACCACATCAAAGATTAGTGCCCATGAGGAAATTAATTTCTTTTAAGGGTGTTTGAGGAGACTGAGGACACTGATATGTGGCTTAGCCTGCTCGGCCATGGCTAAAGGAGGCCTCCACAGGACCCCTGAAGAGCGGGCAGTGACCAAGGGGCCACTGGAGGCGGAGTGGAGGAGGGTCACGTGTTTGGGCGAGATATTTTTACAGGTAGTGAGAAATGAAACTGAGAATTATAATGAAGGGGAAAGTTCAGCATAACCTGATAGCATCACAAACAATATGTAAGTAACTTAAATTGCGGAAAATGCCAGCATAATTGTAATTGTGTGTTAAGTCTTCACTGGCAGGTAAGTTGGCCCTCGGGAGAGGGAGATGCACGTAGACCTGGTCCTCCAGTATGCCCTCTTACAGAGCCACTTGCAGTTCCACAGCTCCTGACAGGACAGGCAGTGCCGCTCAGTCTGGTGTCGGCAGCCCTGCTGACACGGAGCGTTCGTTTCGATACAAGATCAAGACAAGACCACGCTGAGCTGAGGGTGCTGGGCAGGGGGCAGGGAGAGGCTCGTCTCACGATCTGAGACTGCAAGCTGAGAAAATTGAGATTAACAGCTGGGACTGAAAGTGGAGTTTAAGAACTTTTAGCTCGGTTTCATCCTGCTCTGTTTCCATCCAAGACTCCATTGATCAGAACCGAATCATGAATTTGAAGAAGTCAGGACCCTCCTGTCCAGGGGTCCTTCCACAGAGCAGACTGGGCTCCTGTAAAGCTCTCCATAGTGTAAAACAGGTCCTGCAAATGTGGAATTACACTGATGACTTTAAATTACAACATTCCTTTCAAATGCATGAACTGAGCTCCTATAATTGCCAGCTGATCTAAAGTCCCCTCGTTATTGATTTGGCTTGCCCTGAGCATATTGGTGCAACTTTAACTTTAGTATCTGTAAAACATTCTCATTTCATCAGCTAAAGTGTTGAACTTTGGTGTCTCTCCCAGCTCTGGGTTGTGCTCCAGGAGATACGAGCAAAACACTAGATCTCACTAGAGCTTCTTAATTACTGCCTTTTTAAGATAGTGGAACTCTCAATGTGCTCAATTTAGTCTTTTCTCCAGCAGCTTTAAACTTTCCTTTGGATGTATTATGGAAACAAAGCCTCAGTTCTTCCTGTCCCAGCCTATGTGTCCTGGAACAGTGGGATTTGGATCCACAATATTTGAGACAAGTTTGCGTGGTTTCGTATATTGTGTAACATTTTTTATTTCCCTTTGATAATATGACACATTGATTCCCATACAGAATGTTTATTTGTTTTTTTTAGTTTTTCAAGCCCACAGAGAGAACTGAATGGTAATTGCAATGATTTGCAGAAATAGTCTCTCCAAGACCATATTTGAGAGCATGTTCTGGTGGAGCAGCTGTGACCCAGTCTGTGCAAAGCAGGGTGAAGGGCCCAGCATGTGAGAATCCCATGATTACAGTCCGTGAGAACTATAAAGTAGCAGCAGACCAGGCCTCTTCCTCAGTGAGCTGTGCAGTGGGAAAGAAGGCTGAGTGAGGCTGTGATGGTGATACTCTAGGCTCTGATCATGGCTTCCTCGGGGGTGAAAACTGGACACACCTGGCTTAATTACCTCATTAGTGTCCTGTGCGATTGCAAGGACAGTGGAAGGAAAAGAGCTCATTTGATTGGTCCAGTTGGAAATTCCAGTTTCCACAGGATCAGATGTCAGGGTGTATTTGCCAGGGGGGGACAGGCTAGAGGCCGTGTAGGGTCCTGTGGTTCAGGGGAAGGTTTGTAGAGGTGGGACTGTGGTGAGTTCAGGTAGCACAGGAGTAATTACTTCACCTGTGGCATCTGCAGTGTATCCAGCAGTCTCAGTATCAGCAATGGTGTGTAACCTTGAGAGCGTTAAAGGAAACTTGCAAGGATTTCTTTTCTTTTGGGGTTTGCTCTATTTGTGATGGAGGGATCCAGGGCTATTAATAGTGATTTGCTAGTTGCGTATTCCCGGATTAGTGTTGAAGCTCCTGAGTCTCTAAGGGCAGGCTGGTTGGTGCAGGTGGAGTCCGGGCGTCAAAGTGCTGAGCTGCTTAAAGCACTCAGGAGAGTCACGGAGGAGCCGAGGAACATGAGTTTTCCAGTTAAAAGGGAAGCCCAGCCTTGATGGGCAAAGCCAGGTTGTGTGTCAGACTGTTCCAGGACAGGATATTGAAAAGCTTTTTTTTTTTAACTGGAGTTTTTGGGAGACTCTTGGGATTACAGCTGTTCCAGCTCTCCTGGTACCCATCTGAAGATGAAGATGGAATCAACAGCAGGGGAAGAGGAACTGTGCACCGAGATCCCCTGGGAAAAGGGAGGTGGTCCTCTTTGGGAATGTGCATGCTTCTCCACCGGCGGACCACCAGGAGCCCAGAGGGGTTCAGACAGCTGAAAACCGTGGCAGGCTGCCGAAACACACCCTTCTCATGTGGCGATCTGCAAATCGTGGCCCGGGGATCAGCATTCACCACAGGGGCTAACATGTGGCGTGACTACTGGTGCACGTGCCTCTGGAGGCAACAGCAAACCTGGCTCGAGGGTATGTTGTCTGTGGTTGGCAGATGTAAACAAAAACACAAGCATGGAAGCACTGACTGCTAGAGACAGTCAAGGGAGCACTCGCTGAAAGAACTGTGACATGGGGAAGGAGTAGGGTGCTAAAAGAAAATTGTTGCGTTTACTCTGTCAGAATGTGGTCTCTGGCTCCCTCTTGTGCTGAGGATAGTGAAAAAGTTCAAGTAACTGGTTGAGTTACTGTTGGCGCTGCTGGGGTTCGGAAGGCGAAACACTCGATGTGTGTGAGGCGGGACACTTCCTGAATTGGAGCACTAGAGGGAGCTCTTGGCCATCCAACACCCTGCCCTGCACGGGCGGAGACGGGGCAGCAGAGCCGCGGAGACTGTCCTCCCATCTTCTATTACAGTAAAATCAATACAGCTGATGCAGCAGTAATGGAGGTACATGCCTCTCCCTTATCCCGCAAATCGGAAAAAAAAACACGCTGCGATTAACAACATATTTCATGTTGGAAATAACTCCGGAGAGACGATGTTGTTCCTTGTCCTTTCCTTGTCCTTAAGCGGACTCTGTACTAATATACTGGACATCGCAGTTCTCCTGTTTTACACCTGAGAACACGACCACTGGAAAATATATCATGTTTTTTTACAGGATCTTACAGGACCTCACCAACGAGAGTCCGTGTCAGTGCGATACATGACCGGTATCGCGCAGTGCAACAGAATGTACTGTGAAACCTTGTCTTACAGTTACAAGGTGCTCTTTATCTGCGGCATTGGTAAGCTGTATTCGTGTAAGTTCGGCCTCCCCCACGCCCCCTCGCAGGAATGGGGCGCAGGGCGTCTCCCTGTGGTAATGAGTATTGATGATCTCCTCTGCGCTGCGGCCCAGCCTCCAGCTGCTCGGGCTGCCTCTGGGGACCATCCCGGTCGGTTACCAGGGCAACCATCGGCAGCCCTCACCGCCACCAGCCCTTCCTGCTGGATAAAGATCAAGCGGAACGTCCGCTCTGTTATTCCCACAGTAAAAGTCCATTCGAAATTGTGTTTTTATTCAGTGACAGCACCTGTCTCTGAAAGTGTTAGTAAACAGTTGTAGGATGGTCTGCTGTGAGTCTCTTCCAAAACCAATGATTAATCTGGCCTATATGCAATCTGTGAAGGCTTTTTTTAGCCCTGCCCTGCCCTGTCAGGCTCAGTCCGGTGTCACATATCTCTGCGCACATCTAAAAATGTCACTGCGGTCTTTTACATAGAAAAACACTGAATTGGCTGGTGTTTCATTTCAGCGGGTTACAATGCAATTGCAGACTTTGAAGTGCACTGATCTCTGAGCTTGACAGGATAGACTCCACATTGGATAAGGAGGATGGAAACGGGTGGATTGAACTCCAGGTCATGAAAGCTTTAGCTGTAGGTGCTGAAGCTGATGCGTGATGATGCTGGTGCGCTGGTTACACGCCCCTCTGTTCCCGTCTGTGCAGGTGTGGTTACTGCGCTCCTTACCCAGGCCAGCGGGAGGGAGAGAAAACCATCACTGAACGAAAGTAAAATGTCTCTCCTGTCACCTGCCACCCTCTGTCACCAGACCCTGCCCCGGGTGGAAAGGGCAGGAATCGGTGGGGAATCTCACGAACCGAGTGACAGGTGGGCTGTGCCGCACCCCGACCATGGGCCAACAGGACACCGGACAGCGCCGGATCGGGACCGGGAGGAGGCAGGGTGGTGGACATGGCAGCTGAGAGTGGAGACCATGGGCCCTCCTCCTCCTCCTCCTTCTCCTCTGGCTGGAACGGAGAGGGCGCTGCTGTGAAAAATGCTTTTGTTTTATTCCCAGGTGGGGTTTGGACATCTGCTCTCTTGTCATCGGGGGCTCAGAGCAGCCCCCCCTGCTGTCGATCTGAGGAGCTCTCGGACCTATTGGCTTCTCGTTGCAGGAGAGCACTCAGGACTGCCAGCTCACGCTCCAGCATGCAAAATCAATGCTCCTGTTTCCTTTGAAAGCCGATGGCTTGGGGCTGTAATGGTTAATCAGATCAGTAAACTCTGTTCAGCCCTAGTGCCAACACACTGCTCTCCGCCTCTCTCTTGCGCTGCTAACGGCACTGCTGTTCTGTGATACAGCTGTCTGGGAGGGGCTACAGTGAGTCAGGAATTTTTTTATCTTTTTTTTGTTATTTTGCTGACGTTGGCACTTTATCTGCAACAACAAAGCAACCGTTTCCCAAAAACAGCTTGAGCAGGAAAGGGGTGGGAGTTAGTTACCAGTCTGTGTTTTGTCAGAGGAAGCCACTTGTTCAAAAAGAACTGATTTTCTTTCATGAGGTCAGTGTTTATTTTGTTCAGGCTGAGAGTCAGAGTGGACCTTTCAATTGGTAGAGTTAGGTGTGTATTGAAAAAGGAAAGGTGTCACTTCTTTTGAGAGTGTTCTTGAAGAGAAACAGCAACATGACGTGATGGACTCTATGAATTGCATACAGCAGAAGCTTGCAGTCTACAGTACAGAGAAACTGTTGAGGAATCTTCTCGTGAGAAAATGTAGCTTGAATATTTCATGTATTAACTAGTTATTTCCTAAAATGATTTATTATTTCTAAAAGTTGACCACATCCTTACTTTCCTCCTGTTCTCAGTTTTAAGTTCACATCCACACACTGTAGTTTCCACTTGCGTCCTGTGGTTCATGTGTCATAGGGGTTTTGAGGAACACTAGGTTGACTCTGTCAGTGCCTTTAGGCATTTTGAATAGTGGATCCGGTACCTCCTAGTCTTCTTTGGTCCAGACTGAAAAGGTCCAGTTCTTCTGCCTGTTGTTGCAGGACATTCCCCCGATCCCTGATTATTGATGCTATTGCCCTGTAATGGTGATGGGTTGTGATGAAGTAAGCAATTAATTAAGCAATTCTACTAAGAGAGGGCTGGTGATCGAAGACTGAACAGTACTTACATTGTGGTCCCAAATGATCTCCAAATTACTTAACAAATCCATGCTTACCATGATCCTAATTACAATGTTCTGGAGCTTCAGAAATTTGTCATTGAATGGTGACCAGCCACACATTGTACAGACATCTGATGCACACTGACACATTTTTCTTCTTCCTCCTGTCTTGTACCATCTTTCCCATTGGACTATGATCTCATATTATGAGTAAGTATAGCATGAGAAAGAATATTAAAACTGGAAATTGACCACTCAATATGGCATTTAGATTTTTTAATTTAGTATGATGAACAACCGTGTTTCAGGTTTATTTGAAAGCCCACTGCGTGCTTTCAAGGTGCAAGGTCAGGAGTTTTTCCCACAACATCAGTGGGAGAAAACCCCTTTGTGGCTTGCACGTGGGTAGCGCGAATGCTGTGTTTTCCGACGGCGCCTGTGAGACTATGATATAAAATCTCCCATTTAATCCTTTCCATAGTGCCACTCCTATCGGCACCCATCTGATTCGGAAAGCTAAGAAACACGTGAATGACATGGGATTTTGAAACAGCGTTTATGTTACTTACTCAGCTTTGTGTATATACTACTACACGTAATATTAATATTTATGTAGCCCACGCCTTTATTTCAGGCGGTTTATTTTCAAAGTAATGAACTCCAGTAAATGGACCGTGCATTTCCCTTAAAAATGACCTAAATGTTTTTTTTTTTCGTTCATAGATACAGTACGTTCCCCAGTTGTGTGCAGAAACCTCTTTATCACCATGGCCTATTTTCCTCAGAGGAACTTCGCAACGGTGACTGATATCAAAAAGAAATTCATGCACTGATGAAAGCAAGGTCAAGAAAATATTCCAATCCCGTTTCATTATATACGTGTGTGTGCGCGCACAGGAAGGAAGGACAGAAGAAAGAAAGAATCTTTTGTAGCTGACAAAAGCAGTGAGTGAGGGGTTCGCTCTAGGCCTAGGTCATTAATAACACACAATATACACTAATAAAATGCTCTGTACAGAGAGTGATACAGCAATTCCGCACCACTGCAGTCTACCACAGATTTGCTGGCGGTTTGTTCATGCTTTGTCTCACGACAGACGATGTGCTCGTTTTGAGGCGTTTTTTAGGCGTTTAGGTGCTGCTATTCGACGCTCCTGGTGCTGCCGCTGCGACCGGCGGAGGAGATCCGCCGCAGGGATGCTGCAGCGTCTCTGGCAAGGTGTCTCTCATTGGCCGGCTCCGGGCCCCTCTCCTGGGAGAGCTGACGTCACCAGCTGGTAGGAATTAGCATCTCTCTTTGTGAGGCAGTGCAGCACAGGCAGCGATATAAAAACCCGAGCCTGCACTTACAACAGCCCTCTCCTGACGCCTTGGATCGGACCTGCATTGCCCACTCACTGTCGCCGGACGCGCTCACACACGCCACAAGGAAAAGGATGCGAGAAATCGTTCACATTCAGGCCGGCCAGTGCGGCAATCAGATTGGAGCTAAGGTAAAATCGCATCCTGGCTGTTTCACGATGTTTTTTTTTTCATAAAAAAATATAATCATTATTTTATCTTTTGATAATTCAATTGATGTGCCTGTGTATTAGAAATCACAGAAAATTGGGGGTTTCGGTTAAAAACCATATCGCTTGCAATATGTGAATGTCACGTTCATACTTGGTGTCTTTCAGACACCCTTAAAAATATGAATGAACTGGAGCATTTTCCAGTCCTCGTTTTTCAAAAAGACGTCCTTTGCGGGTGGAAACAGGCAAAATGACGTGCACTTTTAAGATGTCACCTCTGGTGTACATTATGCGCTGTACTTTTCCATCCTGCGACGCAGAATGCGGCTGATTGATGTCCGTTTTGCTGCGCAGCTGGTTTGGCCGGCGAGAGCCTGGAAAACAGGACCACGCCCCGCGCTGCAGACAGTGCTGATGTGGGCTGCGGTCCACGCCGAAGCGCTAATAAAATGATGATGGCATTTCATGAGGGCGAGAGAGTACAGAAGGATCTAGGGCTGAAATCTGTTGGTGTAGGAGCTGCGTCAAAAATGAATTAATCCCGAGCGGGTTAAAGTTCAGTGAAAGTGTTGCTGAGTCAGAGAGGATTACTTTCACGGGTTGAAACCGGGTACACAAGACGGGTAAAAGGCGAGACCAAATGCGAGATCGCCTGTGTGCGAATCACAGACGTTTCAAGGCAAGCCGGCGCTGCAGCGATTCCCTCATTCGCAATCCGCCACACCCTACCGACTGCGGGAGACTGAACAAAGAGACTGGGTTGGTGCTGCAGTGCACACACTGGCGAGCGAGTATTCCCACCACAGCCCCAGAAGGCAGCTGGCAGACAGGCCCGGCGGCCGCCGACGCTACATACAACAGAGCTCTGTGTGATCGCCCAGCGCGCTGAGTAAGCACTTCTCTGCGATTGACTTAGTCCAGTGCCCCCTTACCCGCACTGCAATCTGCACATTCCCTATTCTTATTCTCATTCATTAAAACAACTGCTGTTAAAGTGTGAAGGAACTCGTTTTCCTGTCTGAATTGCAATACCGTTTTTAAAACTAACCTGCTTGTACTAAACTTACAAGCCAGGTCTATGACGTCCATCTGTATACAACAAATATCTGACTGGATAAAAGCACTGAGCTGAATGACAACCACAAGACAGAGCTGACGGCTTCTGCAGAGGCCTGTGGACACGTTTGTGATCCTGACATGTTACAATCACAGCTGGAGCGCTCTACTGTTTCAAGGCTCTTGAAGTTCTCATTCCTGCTTTGTCATGGCTGTGTTAGCACCAAAGGCACTGCTTTTTATGTGGGGAAAAAATGAAAGGTTTCTATAGGCGACCTAGTAGTGCTCTTGTCTTTCACTCGGCTCATAGACCCTGCCTACAGCAGTCCTGCCTTTCCTAGCTATCAGTTTTAAAACATGATGTCTTAGTTTGTCATTCTTCCAGGCACAGATTTCAAGCCACTGCTATAGGGCAGGGGTCTTTTAAGACACTGTGCAGATAAGCGTGACTTAATACATGATGCTGTTATATCCAGTAAGGAATAAAATGCTTTCAGTTTTCATTCAGAAGACAGGCAGTCATGCTTTTACTTGTGCTAAACTGTGGACTCTCACCAGACTGAGACTTCGTAAGCACCATCCAAGTTCATAGGCTTTAGTGGTCTTCTCAGACCCTGCTGATTGCTGAAATTAAGTGTGACAGATTCAGCCTAGATCATACTGGGCATTATTATCCAGCTCTGTCTTATCACCCCAAGAAGCACTTAGTTGGAAGAAAGGATCTTGGCTGATTGAGCACAAAGCCCATTAATGAAGGCGTATAAGCAGTCTGGTGTCCTTTCTGGTCATGAAGGATGATGGATAGTTCCATTGCTTTATAGTCTAGAAAGGTATTCATGATCAGAATTGTGAAGAGTATCAATGAAAAATATAGGCTGCATTTAAAACTTAAAGGTTTATCTAGTCATCATGAAATGTCCATTTAGTTTTAGAAAATATTTTTCTTTTCAACAATTCTTTTCATATCAACCCACTATACTGTAGGTATGTGCAGTGTCTGTTTCTGAACTGTATGGAAATATTATGCATTGAAAGTTAATTTGGTTAGGGCTGCCTTTGATTCTATGCTTGGCAATGATGCAGTGTTCTGTGTTTGCATAGGCAAAATCTCCCTAAAGACTCGTGACATGCAAGCCAATCTTTATGGAAAATCATGTCCAAGTTCCCCACACTGATTTGTCTGAAGCCTGCAGGTGAACCCTGTACACATCTGCAGCTGTCATTCTGTAGCATTTCAAAAGTGGCTCAGCTCTCATCGATCTCTTCTCAAGGATGGGAGGAAACAAGCTAGGAATTGTGCCTGGACCCTTGGCTTCACAGAACAAAAAAGCAAACACAAAAAATAAAGAACAATTCAAGTACACGTGTCATCCTTTAAATCTGAGCTTATTGCCCATTATGTGTTATAAAATGGCTTGGATATGAGAACAAATGCAGCTCTTTGAAAAAGACAAAAATGCTCACAGAAAGAGAATTAGCTTTACCATATCATTGTTTTAATTCCGATGATGTCATCTTTAAATGCCCAAAATGACCTATCATCAGCTCTCTGCTCTCAAGGAAGACCTTCCATTAGATCATTAATGCACCATGCATTGTCATATATGGGTTTGGCTAAGAAGTGTGTGTTGTTCAATTCTGTCAGCATCCTCAGTCCCTCTGGAGGTGTGTGTGGTGGGGGTGGGGGGTTGGTGGTGACATAATGCGATGACTTCACGCTGTCTGCTAGGGGCTGGCAGTCAGTCTAATGCACTACATCTGCCACATCGATAATTCACCAGCTGAACCCACACTCCCCCCTTACGAGGCAAATCTGGGGAAGGCGTTTGTCTTTGATTTATGGATTCTGAGTTTTTAATGCGTGCAGGGCATGTGCACACATCTTAATGTGGGGGTGGGGCTGGGAGGAGAAATGTAGGCCTGCTAGAAAGGACTCGGAAGGAAAGTGTGAGTGAATATAGTATCTCGAGGATCAATGAGCACAAAAAAGACAAAACCTAGCAAAAAAAGGACCTACAGCCCAATCTCCAAGGAGCACCTGCTAAGTGTAGAGAAACCAGAGCTGCACACGGGTGGCTAATTACCAATTTAGACAGCATACAGACATCTGTGCCTGAGAGGTAAGGCAATTAGCAGGCGAGGACCCATTCTGTGGTGGGGTGGCCCTGGCTGCTGGGGGCTGCTGGGGGCTGGAGGGGGGAGGTCTTGTGCAGCTGTAGAGACGCCAGACTCGGAGCGAGTGAGGCAGGGAGGGTGGGGAGTGGGGGTGGGGCTCTGTATTGCCTTTGTCTCCAGGACTGAGAAGAAGGCTGGGGACAAGCTACTGATTGTATAGCACACTGGGAAGAAGGGTTAGTGTGAGCACTCCCATTGCCTCTTTTGGCTTACATTACATTTTAGGTGGTTTATCCTCACAGGATCAGTGCAGATGGATTTTGAAGGAGGAAAAAAGCTGTTGCATGGAGACCTTTTGTTGTCTAATTCATCTTCAGGGTTCATTCTCAATCTCAGCTCGTTTCAGAGAGAGGGTACTACCACAACATTTACAGACACAAATGATTCGTTTCAGTTTGAGGCTTCCAAGTATTCCACTGATACCATACGATAATTCCCCCAAGAAAAAAAAAATTCCAGCATGAAGCTACCAGATCTTCCAACCCCTTATTAGTTAAATTGTATCTCAAGAGAGATTCCTTGGCATCCTAATGCCTTCACTGTGAGCAAAATAAGCAGTGTAAATAAGAACTTGAGAATGATTACAAAGGAAAGGAGGCTATTCTCCAAGCCCCCAAGGATCTAAGGAAATTATTCCAAGGATCTTCTCCAGCCATTTCTTGAGAGACGTCAGGGTGTCGGCTTCAGCAACTCAGCTTGTTCCAGCCCCCACAAGCCAGAGTTGTAACAGGATTTAAATGTAGTAGTTGTCACGATAGAGAAGCTATTCCTTCAGATGAAAATGTAAGATTTCCATGCTACTGCTAGTATTAGCAGTGTTAAATAGTTTTCTTAAATTAATTAATAATTTTTTAGCTGTCTGACCCACTGGTCGTATTTACAAGAGGATCATGAATATAGCTTCTCCCTCATGTACAGGATGATATGTAATCAAGAGCCTCATACGCATGTCTTTATTGTCACGTGTCGTATGACCTTGTTCTTCCTGCCAGACCCAAAGGGAGCAGGGAGCAATACATAAGGCAGAAGAAGAAATACTCTCTTTCCAGGCCTCCAGGGCGCAGAAAGTTCAATCCCTGGTTAAAGACGCTGCTTTCCAGCTTAGTCATGGAAGGGTTCCCAGTTCCTTTCATTTGCCCTCCAAAGTGTTTGCTGTACAACAAAGGCATCATGGTTGTGTGCACTGGTATGCCAAGCACGCTCCCTGAGACAGGTTCTGCCTGGCCACATCACCCTGATAAAGACATAAAAGCGCCCTTGTCGAGGGAGCTGCTGGAGTTCAAACTGGGGTGGGAACATTGCAGTTGTAGAGCAAAAAAGGGGGGTATGATATTGCCACTTATTTTCATACATGTTTCAAACAGCTGAATCCTGAAAGTTGTGCCCCCATCAGGCAATGACATTTGGCCCACACAAGGATGAGGCAGTAGGAGACAATGTAGGACAAGAGCACCCCGAGCACTCTGACATTGTCCCTGATCCCAAAACACCTGATTCTGAACGCTGGGAATGCACGTCAGGGCCTCTGACAGACACAGGTGCAGTTAGCCCCATTTGCACTGACATTGTCTACACAAAGAATTTGTATATATATATACTGTGTATTGAATCTGATTATATATCATGTATTTTTCTGCTTATTATAATAAAAAAAATGCAGCTGCATGTAGATATGGGAATATGAGCCAAACATATGTCAGCTGTCATTAAATTATTTCTAGGTATTCCAGTACGCATCACATGGATTTCTATATGAGCGCATACTGGTAACTTTCATAGTGTAAAAACGTTTCAGCGTAGAACAGTGAGCCTAGCTCTGATCCAGGAGAGCAAAATTCCCGCAGGTTTTGTTAGTCTTCGAGTGATAGATAAAAGATCTCATTAGTCTCTTAATTGTTCAAAGCATCTGTTTGGTTCAGATAAAGCCCGAGAAGCCAGCTGAAATGAAAAGTTCCTCAAATAGCTCTGCTGGTGCAGGGCTGAAGACCAATACTGAAGAGGTTGTCTAACATGAGCTCAATATTAAACTCAGCTGAAACTGTAGCTGTGAGACTTTAAAGAGAAAAGTCCCATTGAGCCAGTTTTTGTTTCTGAAGAGCGAATGTCAAGAGAATTGCTTGTATCAGGACAATGTCTTTGATTTCTTTAGACATCCTTGTTTGCAGTCCTCCTTGTTCAGAGAGTCTCCGCAGTCTTCAGAGATTTCTTCCTCCTTCAGGCTTTTCATCGAGTTTCGTATTTCTGCTCTTCAGAATCTGGGATCTAATCTGCACGCAAATCTCTGGTCTACATTCTGAAAAACAGACATCCACGTCCTGACCTACCTTTGAAACGTTTTGACAATGCAATCTCAAATCTCCTGGGGAGAATAAGAAATCCAACTCAAAATCCTCTTCCATAGCCAAGAATATAGACCCCACATTTATTTTTTTTCCCAGGCTTAAGCCGGTTCTGTTGCTTAATTGCACCTGATTATTCAGCTGTGAAAACAGCCCTTTGTGGTCCAGCTGTGTGCTCAGTGTGTCTGCAATATCATTGCAGTTCTGGGAGGTGATCAGCGATGAGCACGGCATCGATCCCAGTGGAAACTACGTGGGCGACTCTGACCTGCAGCTGGAGAGGATCAGCGTCTATTACAACGAAGCCTCATGTGAGTCACAGTGTGATATCGCTGCTCAAGCACAGAGCTGAACAGCTGTAGATTCCCAAAGCCTTGTTCCCTTATATGTACAGACATATAGCAATGGATGTTGCTGGGACTTTGCTGGCAGGGTCATTAGTATTACAGGTAGCTACATTGTCACGATTCTCTGAGCCATTGGTATCATTGGTGCCAATTGGTGCAATCTGTTCATCTGCACTGAGAGCATTTACCCTGCCTTGTTGAGAGATTTTAAGGACATGCCTTATTAAGGGCATATTTCAGATTTCTGCTTTCAAAATAATAGCTAATGATAGAAATATTTTTATTCTGAGAGTTTCTTTTCACAACAAGAGCAGCAAAGTATCCCAATCTAACAAAAGCATCTTAATTAAAGGAGTCTTTGTTAGTGATATTGAAGACCTATAATTACAGGAGTAATGTAAGGTGTTAATCTAAGGTTATGAAAGTATGGTAACTCTCCTGTTCTTTTCCCTGCTTTCTTTGTCCAGCTCACAAATATGTCCCCAGAGCCATCTTGGTGGATCTGGAGCCTGGCACCATGGACAGTGTTCGCTCAGGGGCTTTCGGACACCTCTTCAGACCAGACAACTTCATTTTCGGTCAGTGGAGTCTCCGCCAAACCTCTTCTCTATACTGGTCACAGGCCGTTGAATCTGGAGCCCAGGAGGGCCGCCAGTGGTCAGTGACAAAGAGGAGGTTTCCTTGTTATAACTTGGAAGCCTCCAAGAGCTGCACTGTCTGTATCACTGCTATCTATCTATTCATTTTCTAATGGCTGCATTATTGTATTGATTAATACTCTGCAGATTACACTGCAAATGAAATACAGACTTAAGAATCATCTGTCTGATTTTAATTAGGGCACAAATTGCCTTAGAGGCAGTATTATCGTCAGTCATTGTCCTTGAATGTGAAAACAAGGTCAGCTCTTCAGCTGGGCTCAGCTGTCTCATTTAGTCTAGAGTGGGGAGAAATCATAAGACTTAATGGAAGAGCCAGAGAGTCTGGAGCAGACTTATGACTCCTGGATAAATGAATGACTGAGATGAGCACTGATCCATACAGATAGATAAATAATGTGTATCTTGCATTGTTACTGCTGTTTAATATTTACATTCATATTAAATTGATATTTGGCAGGCAGGATTTTTGAGCATTCCAACTATATTCATTTTTTCAGTCTGCTGTTAATATTAGCATTTTTCAGGTTTTACTCTAGATTCTTATTAATGCTTTGTTGATTAGCTCAGAGTTTCAAGATTGTTTCTTGAAGCTCTGTCTGGAATTTCGGGGAAGAATATGAAGGACAATGCAAACAGAACAAAAAGCTTCATTTTTATGCATTATTTAGAAGCAAAGATAATTTGGTCAGAGAAGATGACTTCATTTAAGCAATAGATTCAGAAAAAAAAATATTACAGTAAGGTAACCTGGCTTATACATTTCTAAAATTTCTAGAAGCTGTTTTTTCTTGAAGAAAATAGCATCGGGTGAGTGCATACAGTGTTTAACTGGAATGAAAGATCTCCAGCAGAAATAAACCCTGAGCTGTGCACCCCCTTGTCTTCCCTGACAGGCCAAAGTGGAGCTGGCAACAACTGGGCCAAGGGCCACTACACAGAGGGGGCCGAGCTGGTGGACTCTGTCCTGGACGTGGTGAGGAAGGAATGTGAGAACTGTGACTGCCTGCAGGGCTTCCAGCTGACCCACTCGCTGGGCGGCGGCACGGGCTCGGGAATGGGCACCCTCCTGATCAGCAAGGTGCGCGAAGAGTACCCCGACCGCATCATGAACACTTTCAGCGTAGTGCCTTCCCCCAAGGTGTCGGACACAGTGGTGGAGCCCTACAACGCCACCCTGTCCATCCACCAGCTGGTGGAGAACACAGACGAGACCTACTGCATCGACAACGAGGCCCTCTATGACATCTGCTTCAGGACCCTCAAGCTGGCCACCCCCACGTACGGAGACCTGAACCACCTGGTGTCGGCCACCATGAGCGGCGTCACCACCTCCCTGAGATTCCCCGGGCAGCTGAACGCCGACCTGCGCAAGCTGGCGGTCAACATGGTGCCCTTCCCCCGCCTGCACTTCTTCATGCCCGGCTTCGCCCCGCTGACGGCCCGGGGCAGCCAGCAGTACCGCGCCCTGACCGTGCCCGAGCTCACCCAGCAGATGTTTGATGCCAAGAACATGATGGCGGCCTGCGACCCGCGCCACGGCCGCTACCTGACGGTGGCCACGGTGTTCCGCGGCCGCATGTCCATGAAGGAGGTGGACGAGCAGATGCTGGCCATCCAGAGCAAGAACAGCAGCTACTTCGTGGAGTGGATCCCCAACAACGTCAAGGTGGCCGTCTGCGACATCCCGCCACGCGGCCTCAAGATGTCCTCCACCTTCATCGGCAACTCCACCGCCATCCAGGAGCTGTTCAAGCGCATCTCGGAGCAGTTCACCGCCATGTTCCGCCGCAAGGCCTTCCTGCACTGGTACACGGGCGAGGGCATGGACGAGATGGAGTTCACCGAGGCCGAGAGCAACATGAACGACCTGGTCTCCGAGTACCAGCAGTACCAGGACGCCACCGCGGAAGAGGAGGGCGAAATGTACGAAGACGACGACGAAGAGTCTGAGGTCCAGGGTCAAAAGTGAACATTTTCCCAACACAACACAAAACAGTCGAGCATTAGGTAACCTCTCTCCGTTCTCCATGCAGGCCGAAGTGCACCTCTTCTGCTCTTGCGACTTCCCCGAATCATGCCCCCTGCTGTTAGTCTGTTTCTGCTAACCATGGTCTTAGCTCACTGTCGGTATCATTGCTTCTTATCGGTATTTCACAACCTATGAAAGTGTGGAAAAATACTTCTTCCCGATTAGTAATATTCGGTACTAATATGCAAATAAAGAAACATGACAGATACATTTAAACAATGCTCAATTCCTTAACTTTCATAATGTGAAAGCCTCTGTTTATTTTGTTTTCTACTGGTTTTGCCTATTTTGATTTTGGGGAATATTTAATAAATTTATTGCTGTCAAAGGAACTTCTGCAGTTTGGTATGATTTGTGCAGTAATGTGATATTTACATTCATGCACATGTGTTTTTACAAATGCTGCCTTGTACTACTTGTTGTTGTCTGACTTTGTCTGTATTTAATTGCCTTTTCACACTTAAAAATTTTCATGCTTCCAGTATAGTTTTTTCAAATACAGCCCACACATAATCTGAATGATAAAATGTGGATTTTTAAATTTCCAATGCTATGGCCCTATTTCTAACACTTAATGGATCTACATAGTTTATCTACATAACAGGTCCACTGAGCTGAGATGTAATTTAGAGAAATGTTTTGTTATATTTTTTTATGACATATTCTATAGAGGAAACAGCAGCATTGCTCTGTGGTCTCTGGGGATCAGCACATTTACAGGTGTTGCTCTTCAGCCGAGGCGTAGCAGGTAAGACCAAAGTGACAGAGGAGTTCTGAAACACAGGCTCGTCTCAGTGGAACACGAGGAGGACAGATTGGGAGTTCTTATTTTTTGTGTAGGAGAAATGACTGGGCTATATGACCCAGAAGCTGGATAAAAATATCTGATTGCTGGCAGTTAATATCCCCTCCAGGAAGCCACAGATCCTGAGAGACACCATCAGCATGAAGGAGGAATTTTCTAGTTGTCCTGGATTGCTCTGTAGCTCTTTAATAACTCATTGAGTCCCAGGCATTTGTTCAGTTGGGAACAAAAATATAACAGTCTTTAAACTTCATTGCATATACAGTATACAACATTGGGTCCCACAGGCTTTAATATGAATCGGATCACTTGTGGACACCATACGAGCAATAATAGCCCTCACAGATGACCTGTGAGTAATATAAAATAATAATAATAATTCCGTACACTTGTATAGTGCTTTTCTGGACAAGTGGGGACTCCCCTCCACCACCACCAGTGTGCAGCCCCGCTCGGATGATACGATGGCAGTCATAGTGCCCCAGTCCGCTCCCCACACACCAGCCAGTTCAGAGATGGGGATTATTAGGCGGCCATGACTGGTAAAGGCCAAGGGGGCAATTTAGCCAGGATGATCCCTGGGATTTTTAATGAACACTGAGAGTCAGGACCTCAGTTTTACGTCTCATTTGAAGGACTGCGCCTTTTTACAGTACTGTGTCCCCATCACTATTCTGGGGCATTATAGTGAGCGACCTCTGCTGGTCCCACTAACACTAATATACTTGAAAGCGTTCAGGGGACCTGTTTTAACAGCAGCAACAGATCATAAGTTATTGCTACTTATTACTTATTAACACTATGGTCCATTGGTGCAATATACTGTGCAGCAACAGAAGGGGGCAACACTTCAGCAGCGTGCTATGACCCCTCACAGATACTCATACATGTGAACACTGACGGTTTGTTTTTAACCTCACTGCCACATTGCTGTGGAATAAGGAAGGTACAGGGAAGGTTGGCAGAAGAAAGGGCTGACTCCTGGAAATCCTTTCCCAGACCCACTTAAACAATCCTGCATAACAGTCCAGGGGTGTGAGAGCTGAAAAAAGTATCTTTAGAAGCGAAAGGATTGCTGAAATTTTCTTGGAAAAACTGTACCGTTTTCAGTGCAGAACAAGGTCGGGACGTGTCTTGAAGACACACGATACACACGATACTCTGCTAAGTGGAATGGACCGCGACTCTGTGCCCAGGAGCTGGGGGGCAGGTGTGCCTGTGGTGGGTGATTTTGGCTGTTCTGAGAAGACAAAGCTCCTCCTCGTGAGGTGATTGAGCAGACAAGCAATGCTTTTCACTTCTTCACAGTGTGATTGAGACACACAGTGGAATGTTTCATGTTACAAACGGCACACTCAGGGATAATTGCCTTTTAGTTTCTTAATAAATGGTGTTCATGCATAATTTACACATTAATGCACACATAGCTTTTAGCACACAGGACTGCTAAAAGATCATTATCCTCAGATTCCAGGGCATACATTCTGGTTGTCTTTACTGGACTCATTTCCCCCAATAAAACTACCTTTTGCATCATTTAATATTTCCTGAGCACAGGGCGCAGGAGGGAGGTACCTTCAGTGTGGAGCAATAGGAGGACAAAGTGTTTCTCAGATTCTGTGTACAAATAGGAGCTCTGAGGAGGACGTGGGCACCGGAGCCACGTTAGAGGTCTCATCAATAAAAAGGCTGGCTGGGTGAGTGTCTTTTTTAACGACTGAATTAGCACTATGGGCAGCAGGCTGAGGTGACTTTACTGCCAACCTGCCAGTGAACGAGTCCAGGCCCTGAGCTGTTCTCACACTCAAGGAGTGCACTTCAAACAGTACTGTAGGGAAAGAATTTAAACAAGACGAGGATGACTTATGACTTGTCTGTTGCATGAGATGCAACACAATCTGCTGTGTCTTATTCATTGGTGATTAAAAGGCAGAGATATTGACACAGAGGTCACTGGTAATTTGTGCTACTATCCGTGAATATTGATTACATTTTATTAATTACTTTAAAATAAAACGCCCATTGTGTTCTCATTAATAGGCCTTCCTATTTTGAAAAATACTTTTCAAAAGCTGTTGTTGCTTTGACAAAAACACCTACAAACTTAGTGAAACAGGAAATATCAGCATGAAAGCACAATCTGTATAATATCCAATATCCCAAATATTTTCAATGAAAACAGGTTTTGCAAAGCAGGCAGTGAGAAACATATAAAACACATCCCATAAGTTTAAAGTTGGAGATATTTCAGACCAACACTGACAGAAAAAAAATGAACTTGTTGGGCTATTACAGAAGAAACTGATGAACTGAGCCAATTCTATCTAATTTTATTCTGTGGATGGCAACCACCCAGAAACAGAATTACCAGAATTAATTTAAATGAAGTGGTTTTAATTACTACTGTTTTGTTGTTGTGTGCTTTGCGCTTCATCTAATTCATATTTCTGCTGTTAAATCTACATCCACCGTGTTTAACTCTTCTGTGTATGAGTCCCAGTCCCCGGGTTATCTTAGTTTAGCTTCAGTAGTAAAATAAAATAAGACCATGCACTAGGCACTTCATGTTTTATTAAAGATGGTGGGCACACATTCCACCCCTTGTCTTTATTCTCTCCTTTTCTGCCATGCTACTTGTGTGATTTAGTTCCACATATTCTGTGACAATATCCTAGCCTTAGCGGTCACCAGGAATGACGGCGCTGCCGTCTTCAAATAGTCACAAGTAAAGGGACTGAAGGTGAAACTAATAACTGATAGATGAGTCCCGACAAAGATACTGTCTAAGTGCGAATTTGTTTAAATCAGAATGTAAATTGTTTTGAGAAAAAAAAACATTGACACTTTACTGCAACCATTTTCAGCAAACTGACACATTTTCAATGTTGCAAAGAAAAATAACTTGAAAATGCCACATGCACTTATATGAAATTGGCATTTTGAATCACATCAATAATTTGCATACTATATTTTAAATGCAAAATGGGTGTTTCTGCCTTTACATCCATAACAAGTTACATATAGAACTTGTTGTGGTTCTTTAGAAATACGCCAAAAGTCACATCAGGGGGTGTCTCATCACTCTGCCATTGACCGTGTGCCGGTATTATCGACCAGCTGTGGTCGCGATTGGACAAGTGAGACAGGCGCGCAGCTGGGCTGCTCCAGCTTCTCTCTGCTCCTTTTCACACGAGCTTCTCTGCACTCTCAGAACTTCCTTTTGCATAAGATTCACATGTTAATTACAGAGAAGGAATGTGGGATCTTCATTATTCCTCCCAGCCTGCTCTGTGTGTTGCTGGAGGGGCAGGCAGTGAGCTGGGCTGTGCAGGGTTATCAATGATGACTGCAGGGGGAGAGAGAGAAGCAGGGAGAGACTGCCTGCACCTGCTGTTGCCCCTGAGGACACAGCCAGTCTGTCTGCCTCCCATCATTGCTCGGAGGAGGGGCCGGTGGGATGGACCGCTTCTGAAAATGGGGGTGTCACCTGCCGAGACACTGACAAGCAACCTACACCCCCAGTCTGACTGTGAACACGAGGCCTTGACATGCCGTTCACAAACACAGCCCGCACGAGCAGAGGCTGGTGCAGCTGGAGAAACAAAGGACCGGTGCACGGGTGTGGAAAAGCAGCAGGCGAGAGAAGCACGAGGGAGAGAGGAGCAGGGAGGAGGAGGAAGGGAGAGAGGACAACAGAACAGACGGGAAAGCAAGAGGGAGAAAATGGCTGGTATCAGGTTTCCAGCTAAAGAGACCGGTCGATAGGCATGCTTAGATGAAGGTCAAAGCAGCACAAAAAAGCCGTCTCTGTTCGATCGCAGTTTAACATGTCGGCTGTAGGAGTTTAATAACCTAAAGGTTTTCTATAAATTTGAATAGCAGGTGGCACGGGGGTGCAGTGGTTAACCCTCCTGCCTCTCAGCGCTGGAACCCTGGCTTCAGTCCTGGACCTGGGGTGATATCTGTGTGGAGTCTGTATGTTCTCCTCCCACAGACCAAAGACCTGTTGTCAGGTTAATCGGCTTGTGGCAAACCTGGCCCTGGTGTGAGTGTGTGCCCTGTGATGGGCTGGCGTCTTGTCCAGGATGTACCCTGCCTTGTGCATGAGATCGGCTCCTGGGGTCCTGTAACCCTGAACTGAAAGAAGCGGTTACAAAATGGATTAGTAATATGAATTACCGAAAATGCATACAGTTTGAGCTTCAGGACATTTTTACAAATGAGCTTCAGGACAGTAGTGCGTTGTCTGCTTTGTTCTCCTGACTACTGCTCATCCATTCTAGGTGAAATATAGTGAGAGAAAGAGTCCGTTCTCATTCTGTCAGCTGGTTCAGGCTATGAGTGGCAGACAGGTCAGTGCTCAGTGTGAGCTCCAAGCCAGCAACCTGCGGAGTGGCGATGTTGGGTGAAGACTGGACCAAAATAACAGTGTACCAATTCCGGTCACAAAGCCAGTCCAGTCTAGGCTCATTCTTGTCATGTGTCTGGTTTTCCTGATCCACAAAACACAGAATGTTTCCTTCTTATTTCCCCCAGTTGTAAATGACGTCAGTTTGAGAATCTCTGCAATGTGTTATGAAGAGGTTTAAGAATGGTTTTGAACTCTTAGATGATGCACTCAAAAACACAGGTAAAAGGAGATTCGGACTGTCCTCACACAATTAGTGTTTGCACTTAATCTTCCTTAAACTTAAACTTTCTTCATATTCCGTATTTCCATAATGATAACGACATAATTTCGTCATAACTTCCCATATCTGTCTTTCTTCTTTTGAAAATTTCTTGAGCAACTACAATCCTGCCAGCATCTTAATTTTCTTCTTGAAATTCGTGGACAATGTTTTAATGCTTCACACCGGTACAGCGGCGGGGAAGGGGGTGTTCGCTTGGTTATGACGTCAAACCGAAAAAGATGGATTTCGTCATCTCCGCTTTTGACTCCCCGGTAGTTGGCGTCTTCGGCATCCAATGCACCAGCATTGTGAACAACACCCGGAGGGAAATCGTAGATTTCATTTAGACATTCCACATCCTGTAATCACCAATAACTAAAAAAAAATGCAACTACTTCATAATGAGTGAATTACACATTTACTCCGGACAAACTAGGAAAGCAACATGTTTAAGCCACACGTTTAATGTTTCATCTTTAAACAGAAGTCGGTAGTCCAAAGGCATTAATAATTCATCAGAAGTGTTGGGAGGTGAAGTTTCAGCTAAGGCCCGTTATTGATTACTGCGCCACAGTCAGAGGCCGGGGCCAGCATGGTGCCTATTTCCTCTGCAGCACAACTGCACTCTTACCCCTAGCAAGATTCCTTCAGGAGGGACAGCTCAAGAGAACCTGCTTTATTCCCAGGAGTCGGCAACATCGGAATCTCCCCAGTTTCAGTTAGGTCAGCCGGACAGCAGAGGCCAGCACTAACCGGAGACTCTCGCAGTATGTCATCCACCGTAGAGCGAGAGGGTTAGATGGGCTTTCGGGCGGTGCATTAGACTGCAAAATAAAGGTAAACAACGTGTTGCAAGGCAGGGAGGGCAACAGCGAGAGGTGGGTGGTGTGAGCGATGCCGGGAGGTGACAGAGACAAGTGCAAATAAAGGAGACGAAGCTGTCACGTTTATCCAGCACACATACATGGCTGTTCGGCCAGTTGGTGTGTTATGCAGTGATGAGGTAAGCTCGGCGCACTTCTAATGACTGATCTCCTTTTTTTTTGTAATTATTATATGCAACACAACTGCGGAACAAAAATATAAAAACGTTAATAATTGTCTTTTGAATACGCGTGCGCGCAAACCACGATTACGCCCTACGTATAATCCTGCTGTAATTTGTGCTGTACGACGAAAGGAATGCATAAAATTGATTTTGTGGAAAATGGCATTGCAAGTATATTGCTATACGGAACTGAGCGACGGGTTTGATAGCAGAGCGTTTCTGTACCGTCCAATAGTGCATTAGCTAGCTGTTGCGTGTGTTTCTGCAAATGTGTGCGTATTTGGGAAGAAAACTTGCGAGGACATCGATAGCATTTCAACACCTTAGACCTGCCCATGAATACAAATTGCCTGCTCGGCTGTCTGTGTGAAGGGCGCTGGGCTTGTGAAAGCGAACCAGCCCGGCGCGCACTCGCTGCTCGGCTCCGGGAGTACAGCGTCACCCCCTCTTTCAATTGCCGTGGTTAAACGCAAAAGAAAATATAGATTCAATAAGTACGAAAAACGATTGTTGTGCACAACACGTAAAAAATAATGATCCATTTTATACTTTTTAAGCAGCTCCAATAATAACATTTGTGTCCGAGTACCACTTTTGCCTCGGATACTACTGTTACGCATAAATAGTTAACCTTTTTCATTATATTTAAGTTCTTCCGTCTTCCTTCCACGATTTAACCTGTCACACAGATACCTGACAGGTCGCATTCCTGTGTCTTAGCATAGCTGTGCCAGAGCGCAAAACCGACAAAAGGTATCGTTGCGTTTTTGGAACTGAAAAAAACTTTATTTTAACAAATTACAAGATAAGAGTGAACTTCGTTTACGTCGTCTATTCTTCTTACAGAATTGCCTTATAAGCAGGTTTGACTACCCACAACTGGCCCTTGATATCGGATGAAATACTGTGTCGGTTATATAACTGCCAGGCTCTAAACACACTAAAAAAAAGCAAAAACAGTCCTGCTGTTTCGCTTTCAGTTCTGGCAGAAAGTGGTTGAAAAAACTCCTTAAAACTGGAAATTCAGAGATGAAGATGAACTCTGAACCGCTTAGTGTCACAGTGTAGGTATCTATATATATACAAACTCCAGGATGTTAAATTTTCTGCTTCACCTCTGTGTCTTTCAAGTTGAAATGCTTCAAACGGACGTCCCTGCCCCAACTAACGATGTCATTTTTGTGGACCGGTATTTATGTGTTGTGTATCTTTTCAGAAGGAGCAGACAGTAATATTTCCCTACACACTGTAGTGCAGACCCCCCTCTATCACCCCCGGTACACCAGCCATCCATCAGCTGCTGCGGTCGGTGCTCATCCAGCACCTGCTTCAGAGCGCTTCCCAGTGCAGTCACTAGGTGGCGTTAGATAGCTAGATAATTGATTGATCCCGTGAGGGAAATTGCAGAATACATCTGTGAATGGCCCTGTTTTGCATTGCCATCTCTCAGTAACATCCGGCACACTTCTGTCCCGAATCTGGTCTCCAGCTTTTACCTTGCATGTTTCTGGCTGGTCACTTCACTGCCGGTTTCCTCTCCTGTTGCAGAGCGGTTAGGGCCTGCCTGAGGGTAAAGCCGTGGCCCACCGGCTCTCTGGCTGTCTGCGGGAGAAATGGGCTCGCTGGGCTGTTGCTGGCCCTTACTGTGTGTCCCTGGACAGGTGGGGGTGTGGGGTGGCCGCCGGGGCTCAGTCTGCTGTGTGTTTGTGTTCCCACAGATGTAGCCGGGGCTATGGAATATGATGAGAGACTTGCTCGCTTCCGCCAGGGCCTTGTCAACCCCTTCGACCGAGGAGAGGGGCCCCCCGAGGAGGGGCCCCTGCAGCATGGTGAGAGGACATGCTACCGCCCGGCCGTGGGGTCAGGGGGGCCTGTAGGACTGGGGGATCAGAGGAGAAATTATCGCCTAAACCTGATCTTAAGGGATTTAACCCGGACATTATTAACAGACAAAACTCTGCGGGGATGCAACCGCTTAGAATTAGGATTAAAACAAAGACTAAAACTGAAAAAAGCCCATAAATGGAGAAAATCCAAAAGTTGTTGAAATATCTGAGCAAAAATCACATTGTGGTTTCCATGAGCTCGTTAGCACTAACGAGAGTGGGTGGAGGCGAGGGATGGAAGCAGTTGTGTTGATTTTGTTTGCTTCGGTTCTTTGTTGTACAAGACAAAAAAAAAAGAATTATTTTTACTTTTTTAGCACTTTTGCCCTTGAAAGGCCGGACATTGAGAGGTGGATTATAAGGCATATGGAGGCAGTTGCCTGGGCTGTTTTCTGTACTTTTGCACCTTTTGTGGTAAGATCATTGTGCACCAAGTGCCTTGGTGAGTTTAAAAACCCAAACTTTAGCACATGCTGAGGTGACGTGTGAAGAGTTAGGAAGCAGCATTCCTTCTGAAGAGAATCCTGGTTGTGCACCTAGAAAGCTGTGGCAATGCATGTCTCTGTGACTGCTTTTTAAAAAAGACTGAGAACCTTAAAATTCAGGGCAGTCGGGGGAAAGAGCCTGTGATTGGTCACATTGCTGCCTGCACGAGGTAGACACACGAAACGGACAGTGAGAAGTGGAACAGAAACAAGCTGGTTTCTCCCAGGGGCTGCAGATCACTTCCTATACAGCAAGTGATCCTCTGCAGACCGCTGTAGCGTTAACTGCTTCAGGGAGCCTGGCAGGAAACCACACTCTGCTTAATTAACTGGAACTCGTCTAGATCGGCTGCTGCTTTCTTCACCTGACAGATATCGGAAGGCCACTCACAATGATGTTCTGTGAGGTTTATGCAGGTAACTTTTGTGTTTAAGTAAATTAAAATAAATGTAAATGATGAAGGTAACATCCGGCCCTGAAGACTCTCGGGGACAGCGCAGGAAGGATGAGGATGCCTGATGATTATTCCCTCCTCCTGTTGTCTTTCCACAGAGGTGACGCCCGAGCTGTGCTCCTCTCAAGTGCTTCTAATGATCTAGCAAGTTCATTGCAGCTTTTCCTGTTGCTAGGCTTGTGCGTGGTTTTTGATGAAAAGCTTTGCACTCAACTATGGATCGTGTCATCCCAAGACACGGAACGTTGAACTGCCTTACGCAAGAGCTCTTTCAGTTCAGGCCAGTGTCAGCGAAGGAGCTGTTGTTGCAGTAGTTATATCTTGTGGAAAACCCCCAGCCGTGAAGAGAGTGATGCTGCAGGTCTGTGCTTGAACAAACCCGTACTCCATTTGACCTTCTTGTATTTCAAATGTAATCTCTTGTAATTTATGCCATCAGCGTTTCCCCGTAGTTTAATGTCTTCCACATTGCTCGTTTCATGGTGTGTGCGCTTTGTGGTTTCCTGTGCTTGTGTCAGACCCCTGCAGTTTTGTTCTGTGAACACATTTTATAAGTAGAATCAGATCTAACCTGTAAGCTGACCAAGGCACAGGAAAGTCAGTGACGCACACATCACTTTTACGGCATGTGCTCAGTGGACTTGTATTTAGGTTTTCTTTCTGGTTTCCTAGGTTACTTGAGTAGCTGTTTGCTGACAGCACAGAATTATCAGACGGTTAATCACGGGACGATTAAACTGGCCGCGTCCGGCCCTGAAGACTCTCGGGACAGCGCAGGAGGGATGAGGGGGGATGATGATGATGATTCCCCCCTCCTGTTGTCTTTCCGCAGAGGTGAAGCCTGAGCTGTTCTCCTCCGAAGTGCCGGTGCACAGCAGCGACAGAACCATGGACCTGGGGCTGGCCGAAGACCACTTCTCCCGGCCTTCGGTCAGTGGTCTCGTTCGCACGCTGCCGCTGCTGGCAGGGGCGGTGCTCTTGTGCTTATGACCATATAAGGATCAAGTATTTTATATAGTGTTATTACTTTCTGTCAAATTTCCTCTCATAATCATTTGCAGCAGCTGGATTGTATGAATCTTCCACCCTGTTGCGTCTCCGAAAGAGATCACTCCAGTGCGGGATGGCGATTTGCCTTGAGGATACGGAAGACAGTGCCAGCGAGCGTTACTGTCCCGCCGGGGGCGCGTCTTTTAACACCCTCCCCCGGGGAGGGGCCCCAGCCCAGCCTGTCCTGGGAGGAGCAGGTCCTCATCAGTCAGGCTGGAGCAGGGAAGGCAGACGGTGGTTAATCCTTGCAAACTCTGACTGAGTATATCAGTGCAGAGCAAAACTTTATGTATTTCTTGTCTAACTCTAAATTAAAACTCCCTTCTGTATTAAATGGATTTTTAATTACATTCTGTGATAAAAATCTCAGTAATGTCATTATCGATACCTCACATGTTTCATATGTAAGAAAGGAATCATGCTCCTGGGAGCACCCCCTCGTTGGGCTAGAGTTGCCTCTATTAGTGCCTCAGTCCACAGTACGCCTTGCTCTGGAACTCAACTCCAGCGTTAAAGGAGGCTTTGGTGTACTGGGTTTGTAAAGTCGTTTTGTGATTGGTAGTTGGGTCAAAATGGTGATTGAATTTTGACGTAAGTGACTGTAAGTCCACAAAAATCAGTACTTAACCCAGTCAGAGGTCCGGGTGTACTGTAAATGCCATTTTCAAAGGTTTTTAAAGGCCACTCCCACAGCCTTCTGGGTGCTGTTGGCTGACCGGCCATTAGGGTTAAACAGACAGGTTCTCCTTTCCTACTTGATGTCAAGCTTCAGCCAGGGATGGGTTTCATTCCTGAGCCCTGAGCCCTGAGCATGGGCAGTCAGTGAGGGTGCTTTTCATGAAGGCTGCACTCGTGCCCTGTGCAGGCTCAGGCCCTGCCTCTCGGGGCTGTGGGGCTGTGGAGGGATGACCTAAGGAGACAGAGACGAGAGGGAACAGAACTTGATGCCACTGTGGAAGCTTTAGGAAGCTGTAGTTGAAAAGGTGAACAAGTAAGCAAGCTGAGACACTGTCCTGTGTCTGAGCCTCACAGGTGGTGTGGTGGCTACATTAAGCCTGTTGCAGAAGTGGAAGGCCACTTCCTGATTGTTGCGGAAGGTAGTGATTTCAGGGAAATCTCCTTGGTGTTGTGTGAAAACAGCGGTCTTCTGTTTGAAGTCTGCTCTTGGGAGGCTTTGTAAGCACATGGGATAAACTGGGCTTTAATCTGAATAGGTGAGACCTACTTTTTAGTAGGAATTTAATGTCATCCTTAATGGTTGATTCATGTATAAGTTAAGAAATGTATTGGATGAAGAGATGAGAAAAAGATGGGTAGTTCTTTAATCTTCACTCATTGTGTGACTTGATGGTGCTCTGTCGATATCTTGAGGCTGCTGAACTGAGTTACTGGTCTAAATGGGTGGAGCGGTGGCTCTGTGGCTCAGGATCTGCGCCTGTGGCTGGAAGGTTGCCGGTTCAAATCCCGCGGCCGGCAGAGGAATCCTACACCATTGGGCCCCTGAGCAAGGCCCTTAACCCCAACAGCTCCAGAGATGCCGTATAAATGGCTGACCCTGCGCTCTGACCCCCAGCTTCTCTCCCTGTCTGTGTGTCTCATGGAGAGCAAAGACATGCGAAAAGACAAATTCCTAATTCAAGAAATTGAATGTGGCCAATAAAGTGATCTTATCTTAAATGTTGTGAAATCTAAAGCTGTCAAAATGTGCTCCAGTAGCCAGTGTTTGTTTCCTTGATTGTGATCATATTTCTATTTGTTAGTGCTTTTCAAGAAACTGAAGTCACTGTGCAGAAGCACAGCAGTAATTTATATAACAGTAGTAAAAATGGAGTCAGTAAAATCAAGTGAAACCCAATGATGTAAATGTTTGGTGCAAAGGTGTGTCTTTAAATGAGGGTTGATAATGCTGGTGGAGCCGCTCACCGATTTGAGTTCCTCTTGGCGCTCTAGCCTGGTCTTGTCAGAGGGAGAACACCTGAGGCGGCAGATCCCAGATCCTACGTTATCTCGGGTGCGCCTCTGAGCGCGCACACTTGTGAGGGTGGCTCCCTACTTGATCCTGCCGGAGTGTTGTCACAGGGCTTGTGTGTGTGTGTGTGTGTGTGTGTGTGTGTGTCCAGGGCTCGTTCGTGGCCTCGGACGTGGAGCAGCTGAAGCAGGCCATCGAGGAGTGCAAGCAACTGATCCTGGAGCTGCCCGAGCACTCAGAGCGGCAGAAGGACACCGTGGTGAAGCTCATCCACCTCCGCCTCAAGCTGCAGGAGCTGAAGGTGAGGGGGGCGGGGCAGCCGGGGGGTGGGAGCACAGCAGCACAGCCCGAGCAGGAGGAGTGTGCCTGTGACACTGGCGGGCCCGTTGACACACCTGTGCTGTGGAAACCCGTGAAGAGCAGAGTGACTAAATCTGATACTCATGCCAGTCGGACCATGGGGTACACTTGTGGAGCATGGGAGGGGCAGGAGTGATGCCCTTGCCCAGGAATGTGTCCTGTCGTTGTCATTGTTCCATGGTCCGGTTTGCGGTTTACCACATCACATCACGCCACAGAGCTCAGTTGTTTTATGTACCCACTAGCATTTTATACCTGTCTAGAGAGACTCTCGTTCACGGCCTATTATGAAATAGAGTGACAAAGCTTAACAGAACTGTTTTACAATGACACAAAAAAACCTACTTCTATCTCGTCAAAAGCAGAAAGCTTTGCTGGTCCAGAGTCAGACTGGAAAAGAGAACTTTTTTCTACCAAATCAGCATACAGACGATCATTTCTTTCATTTCCGTTTTTACTGTTACGAAGCAGTGTTGACAGAAGCTTATTAGTTCTGAAACTGACAACATACAGTACTACCTGAATTTAAAGTTCAGCATGGTAACTTCCCCCAGAGTTCTGTGGCTCTGTGATTTTAAAGCTCCTGGGTGGCATAAATGAGAAGCATGTTGTTTGTTAAACTGTAACCTAAACTCCGATAAGCCCCTTTTAATCTCATTTGACTTTGTATGACAGATTTGCTGTTACCAATACCAGAAAAAAATCTTATTGTGATTTGTTTAGAATAATTGTGGCTGGAATAGAAATGTATTAGTGGGTAGTTTTTCACATAAGAAAAGAACTCCTGTTATCTGTGAAGCCCCACACAGAACCTGAATGGGGTTTCCATGAGAGATGATCTCTGAGATGGGGGCAAGCAGGGACTGGCTGAGAGATCTGGTCACCCAGTTGAGCGCTGGTCTCCGTTTCTGTAGGATCCTGATGAGGAGGAGCCCAACCTGCGAGTGCTGCTGGAGCATCGCTTCTCTAAGGAGAAGAGCAAGAGTGTGAAGCAGACCTGCGACAAGTGCAGCGCCATCATCTGGGGACTGATCCAGACCTGGTACACCTGCACAGGTGAGGCGTGTCCAGACCTGAAGCACCTGCACAGGTGAG